AGGAGGCGGCGGAGGAGGGGCGGCGGCGGCGGCAGCAGTGAAGGAGCCTTCGCCATGCAGAAACTTGGACGCTTCTTCATCCTCGCCGAATGAGCGTCCCAACACCTCAGTGGCACCGTCGCCTACGGCAGAGCCTCCACCGCACGCCAGAAGCCTAGCGCTTGAAACGCACACGACCAGTCCACCAGCAAACCTATCAGGCTCACGACCAGACGGCGGAACGACGTGCACACTCTCAGGCTGCTGGTGGGGAAGGTCGGCACCCGCATCCCGCGGTGCAGGCTCGACGTGTGCGTGTCGTGCAAGGCAGTGTCCACATTGGGGCCCCTTTCGCTCCTTGGCCAGCCGCGTGCACTCCCGACCAGGAACAACGCCGAGAGATGGAAGTATCGCATTTGCAAGAGGAAGGCGCCCCAAGCGGTATGGAACCTTGCTGGAGGTTTCGCCAGAGAACGGGGCTTTTGACCAGCCTCCGGATGACCCCTCCCCGAAGACCGCGGGAGAGCTCGGCGAAGAACTGGGAGGCTGGCCTGCGCGCAAATCTCCAAACCTTCGCCTAGGTCGAATGACAAGCGGGCCCCCCTCCTCCTCCTCCTCCTCCTCCTCCTCCTCCTCCTCCTCCTCCTCCTCCTGCTTCTCCCTTTCCTCCTCCTCCTCCTCCTCCTCTCCTCCTCCTCCTCCCGCCTCCGCCTCCGCCTCCTCCTCCTCCTCCTCCTCCTCCTTCTCCTTCCTCTCCTCCTCCTCCTCCTCCTCCTCTCTCCTCCTCCCCCCTCCTCTCAACCATGAGGTATTGGCGCCCCTCCCCCTCCCTTTTCCTGGCCTTCCTCGCCCTCGTGCTGATTGTCCTGCCCTGCGGCCCCCTCCCCCTCCTCCCTCTCGTGGGCGCCTCGTCCTTCGCCTCCTCTCCGCCGCCTCGTGGGCGGCTCGTCGGCGCCCGCCCCCGCAGGACCCCGGAGCTGCGCAGCGGCACAAGGTCGGCCCCGCGCCCCGTGGGGAGCCCGGCCGAGGGGGCCCGCCCTCGCAGAAGGCTTGGGAGTCGTAAGCGGTGGCGAGGCGTCCTGCTCCTCCGCCTCCTCCGCCTCCTCCGCTTCCTCGTCCTCCTCCTCCTCCTCCTCCTCTCCTCCTCCTCCTCCTCCTCCCTCCCCTTCCTCCTCCCTCCTCCTCCTCCTCCGCCGAAGGCGTCAGCTGCCCTCCCCCAGACATTTCGAGCAGTGGCGAAGCGTCCTGGCTTGCCTATAGGCCCACCAAAGAGAATGTTCTGAGAGCCTTCTTGTGGTTTGCACGAGATGTTCTTGAAACATGTCTGGCTGGGGTCGTCTTGTGTTAACACATCGGCTTTATGTTCTAAGAACATTGTCTGGGTTCGTAGAACATTTGTGGGTTTTAAGTACATGTCGTGGTAGGCCTATAGGAATGCCAGGACGGTCGGTCCATGCTCAAGAATCAGGCGATCGCAAACATGGATCAATGGGGCGTAGATTAGCGACGGGCCCCGTTTCCATGGGAAATCGCGGATTTCCGCCGCCGAACGAGGCGGCACAGGCCGCATTTTGGGGAGGGCACCTCCCCGATCCATGGATTTGGCGACCGCCCGCCAAGTCCATGGATCGTTAATCCATGTTTGCGCGCAACTGGAGGGAGGCCTCCGGCCGATGAAGAATTGTTCCAGGCTCAGCGGCACCGCAACGGGTACTTACGGGTACTTTGGGGAGTTGCCGAAGGTTGCCCTTTTGGGGGGCCTCTTGCTGGCACTGCGGCGTTGCCCACACCGGGGAGGGCTGGGCTCGCACGGTCACTGGCCAAAGTACCCGACAGTGGAGTCCCCGTCAGAGGGTCGCTGACAAGCCTTCTCCGAAGACAGAGGCGGCTGCTCAGAAGACCGGAGGGGCTCCGAGAAGTCCCGCCGCAATTCGGGGGAGGCCGGCCCCCGCTCCGCCTCTCATGGTCCGGTCTTGGGACTCGGAGTGTGCGCCAGGAGGAGGCGGGGGAGGCTGGGCTGAAGGAGGAGGAGGAGGGGGAGGAGGAGGAGGAGGAGGAGGAGGAGGAGGAGGAGGAGGAGGAGGAGCGAGCAAGCCAGAGTCATATGACCCATGGGAGGGCCACATGGCGCGTTCCCCCAAAAAAGGGCCTTTGCCTTCGCGGATCGAAGGAGTTGTCCTCGTTCCTGCGGCGGAGGGCGGCGGAAGGTCGGCGGAAGTAAAACGACGGCCGCCTCCGCCGGCGGCAGCCGGCGGAAGGGCGGCGCAAGGCGGCGGAAGCAAAACGTCGCCCCCCAAGAGATGATGAAAACGGTTTTGGGGTTCGGGGCCCCCGAAATCGGCCACGTATCGCGCGCAGCACCAAGTTGGAGTTGGCTTCGGGTGGCCTCAGGCGGCAGCCTCCCCATGATTCAAGCAGTGGCGAAGCGTCCCGGCCCGCCTATAGCCCCACCAAACAATGTTCTAAGAACTTTTTTGTGGCTTCCCCAGAAATGTTCTTAGAACATTTCTGGCTGGGACTGTCTGGTTTTAACATATCGGGCTGATGTTCTAAGAACATGGTGTTTGTTCTTAGAACATATTGAGGTTCTAAGAACATTTCGTGGTATGATATAGGAATGCCGGGACGGTCGGTCCCTGCTAAAATGATGGGCCACTCCCGTAGGCGCGGCCGCCCAGCGTGAGGCGATGGCCTCTCGCGGACTGGACGGCGCTGCCCGTCCGCGGCAGCAGATGGGCAGGAGGAGGAGGCGGAGCAGGAGGAGAAGGCTCGACAGCCCAGAGGTCGCTGGGGACTGGTTTCCCACCAAAACTCAGAGCGTGAATTACCTACCCCGCTTTCGCTTCCAGGCAAAACCAAGTCATACCACGCGCCTCCTCGTCAAGCGGCCTGACCAGTACTGGCCGTAGTTTGGCATCGCTTGGTATGTCTTGGAAGCGAGGGTGGTCAAAAGCGAGGTAGGTTTGTTTTCCCCCTAAAAACGACGAAAACCCTGCCCCCCCCCCCCGAAGCCCTCCGAGATGATTCCCGGAACCTTTCCTTGAGGGTTTCGGGAGGCTTTTCGCGGCTTTGACAAGAAACCAGTCCCTAGCGAACTTTGGACTTTCTAAGGGTAAGGAGAACGCTGAGCAGGAGGAGGTTTCCTCGGGGACCCTAGAGGCTGATGGTAACACGCCGCCCTTCATAGAAGGTGGCGTGGTTGCCTCCTCCTCCTCCTCGCGCGCCTTGCTGCGCGCCGCAGGCGCCAGCATCCCTGGTGTCGAGACGAGGCACGAGGAGGCAACCAGGCCTTCCGCATCCGAGAAGGTGGCGGCCTGGAGGGCAAGACTGGCTGCTTACCTGCAGGTATCCGACACACAAGCATCACTGTGATAAGGCGGATGGAGCCCTTGCCTTATGCGATGAAGTGTCTGAGCACCACTCCCACAGTCGGGGCGCTGAAGAACGAACCCCTTTCGTTGAGGAGGGGTTCGGTGCTCCTTGATGGTTTTACATGTTGCCCTGCGTTTTCCTTAGGTGTTCTATGGGAAATCGAAGTTGACTTTTGGGAGAAAAGGGTATTGTTCCTTATTTAGGGTTCCTTATGCCAAGGCCTCAGCCAACAAAGCACAACGATGACCTGAGTATGCCACGCATCTGTAGCAGAGCATCCAGGGTGTCGACCACGAAGAGGAGGAGCGTAGGGCTTTCACGATGATGATGATGATGATGATGATGATGATGATGATGATGCTGATGCTGATGCTGATGCTGATGCTGATGCTGATGCTGATGCTGATGCTGATGCTGATGCTGGTGATGGTGATGGTGATGGTGATGGTGATGGTGATGGTGATGGTGATGGTGATGATGATGATAATGTTGATGATGCTGCTGATGACGATGATGATGCTGATGATCATGTTGATGATGGTGATGCTAATGACGATGACGACGATGATGATGATGATGGTGATGATGATGATGGTGGTGGTGGTGGTGATGACAATGCTGATGATGCTGATGGTGACGAGGCTGATGATGAGAATGATGACGATTATGATGATGAGTATAATGATAGATGATGATGATCATGATGATGATACTGGTGACGACGATTATGATGATGATGATGATGATGATGATGATGATGATGATGATGATGATGATGACGCTGCTGTGAATGCTCATGATGATGCTGATGATGATGATGATAGTGGTGGTGGTGGGGATGGTTATGAGAAGGATGATGGTGGTTATGCTGATCGTGATGGTGATGATCATTATGATGAAGCTGATGCTGATTATGATGTTGATTATGATGTTGGTGTTGATGGATTGATGCTGATGCTGGTGAAGGAGATGGGGATGGTATTAATGATGACGATGATGATGGCGATGATTATGATAGTGATGGTGATAATGATGTTGATAATGAAGAAGAAGACGATGATGACGGTGGTGACGGTGACGGTGACGGTGACGATGACGGTGATGGTAATGTTGATGTTGATGATGCACTTGGGCGCACCGTGACACGTATGCTCGGCCCGCCTGGGACTTGTCTAACCCAGGGGTGATCTCGCTGGCTCAGCCTTCTCTGGCCAAAACGTCATGCATGTGCAATCCCCGCGCTGGAAAGACGGCCCGTCGTGAATAGATGTGCGTGCCGGCAGGAGGAGGGGGGGGATCCCCACGAGGAGGAGGAGGGGGAGGAGGAGGAGGAGGAGGAGGAGGAGGAGGAGGAGGAGGAGAGGGGAGGAGGGGGGAGGAGGGGAGGAGGAGGGGGAGGGGGAGGGGGAGGGGGGAGGGGGAGGGGGAGGAGGAGGAGGAGGAGGAGGAGGGGAGGAGGAGGAGGAGGGGAGGAGGAGGAGGAGGAGGAGGAGGAGGAGGAGCAGGAGGAGGAGGAGGAGGAGGAGGAGGAGGAGGAGGAGGAGGAGGAGGAGCAGGAGGAGGAGGAGGAGGAGGAGGATGGGGAGGAGGAGTGGGAGGAGGAGGAGGAGGAGGAGGAGGCTCTCCCCGCTGGGCCCGCCTCCGACGAGGGCATCCCCGGGCGCGCGCTGGACCTGCCCGGGCTTTGGGGCACGCGCCAGGAGCCGCCGCGGGCCGGCGCGGGGCGTGGCCATGCCGAGGGCTACCGGCCTCGTCGTCTGCGTTGTCGTTGACCTCGTCGTCCTCGTCCTCGTCCTCGTCGACGGCGTCGTCCTCGCCGTCGTCGCCGTCGTCGTCGTCGTCGTCGTTCCTCGCCGTCGTCGGCGCCTCGTCGGCCTCGTCGGCCTCGTCCACATCCTCGTCCTCGTTGTCCTTGTCGTCGTCGTCGTCGTCGTGGGCCTCCTCCCTCTGTCCCCCCTGGCCCTCCATCCCTTCCCCTCTTGCTGGCGACGGGAGGACACGGGCAGGTTTCTGTGTCGGGACCCCCGCCGTGCCCCGGGGCCGTCACAAACCAGCGGCGGGGGTGAGAAGCCGGCCCTGGGGAAAGGGTCGGGACTTCCGGGTGACCCGCATGGAGAAAATATAGAGGCATTTGATGTCTCGGGAGGACTCTTTGTTGTCATTCTGGACTTGCTTTCTTCTTCCCTCCTCCATTGCATGACGGTGTTACGCAGCCAGTCCCAATTCCAGTCCCCATCACCCTCTTGCTGTTCCTGGGCAGCACTCATGCCCCCTCCCTCCATGCTTCTCCCCGTCCTCTTCATCTTCCCTCCCTTCTTCCCCCGCGAGAAGAGTCGTTGCAGAATTAATGTGTACCAACTGCAGCTTCCATGCAGTGTTGGAGGTGTGATCGAAGTGGCCCCAGCCTGGAAATTGGTTTCGCCAGCGTTTCGTGCCGCGTGCGGGCGATGTGAAGATGCGCGAGTGTGTGTAGCTAATTGTGTGTCGGCCGTGGCCAGGGCCAGGTCAAACAATCCCTATGTCTCGCGGGTGCTCGCGGAGTTGTCCCGTGGTTCTCCCGTGTTTGTCCCGTGGGTTGTTCCATGGGTCGTCGTGTGGGTGTGCCATGGTTGGTCCCGTTGTTGTCCCATGGTTGTCCCGTTGTTGTTGATCCGCGGATTGTCCAGTGGTTGTCCCGTGGTTGTTCCGGTGTTGTCCCGTGGTAATCCGAGGGTTGTTTCGTGGGTCGTCCCGGGATGTTCCCGTGGTTGTCCCGTTGGTTGTTGTCCCGTGGTCGCCCCGGCGTTGCCCCGCGGGTGTCGCGTTGTCCTGCAGTTGTCCCGCGATCGTGCCGTGGTTGTCCCGTGGTTTGTCCCGTGGCTGTCCGATGGGGTTGTGTAGTCTTTTGTCCCGCTGTTTGTGCCGTGGTCGTCCCTTGTTGTCTTGCGGGCTGTCCCGCGTTGTTCACGCTGGTTGTTTCGTGGGTTGTTCCGTGATTGTCCAGTGGTGCTCCCGTTCGTTACATCATGGTTGTCACATTGTCCCGTGGTTGATTAGTGGATGCTCCCGTGGTTGTTCCGTGCCGGTTCGACGGGACATGCAACATGAATTTCAGATCATTTTGCATACATGTATACACGCAAACACTTACAGTCTTATATCTAAGTACATCGAACAGCATTAAGCCGCATAGACACACATACGTAAGGACAGTTGCTTGACACTTAGGCCGATACTTGTCTATGTCGACGTACACGGTCTACGTTCGGTAGATTGTGTGTAATTTCTCCTTTCCCGCAAGAATTAGAATATACCCCCTTTCCCGAGCCTGGACGTTTCCCCTCCGCACGATGTGCTGTCATACATGTTGCGCACGACCGCCAGTAAATGGTAGCCTCCCAGGGAGTGCCTGTATCCACCGATCCCGCCCTCACTCTTGTCAGATAGTGCCATCTGACCGCCCCTCTGCCCTCGTGAGACGGCTCACGATGCGGTCGGCTATTCGCGTGGAGTTCACTGACGTGGAAGTGCCTCCGAGAGCCCCTGGGGCCCCCCGTGGCCGCTGGGTGACCCCGAGCGCCCCCAGCAACAACAACCTGAACCTTTCAAGTAGGGGTGATAAACAAAACAAACTTTGTCAACTAGTGCCATAGGGTGCACATGCGTTGATGTAAGAAACGCGTTTGCTTACAACCCTTTCCAGCAAAACGCATTAAACATGCGTGCGCCGCCGCGCGCGCACGTAAAGTTCTGTCAGCGAGCCGCTGTTTTGTGACACCACAAACAAGGGCATGGCTAGAGAAACACTGTCATACGCCTGTCTGGTTTTTTCGCCCAACCACTTGCCAGAGTTCTGCGCGCGCGCACTTGCTCAAAGCCTACGAAGCCATTGGATTTCAATCATCCTGTCAATTCTGACCATGCGGATCACTTTCGGGCATAGCCAGGACCCCAGGTAAGACCCGGTTAGTAGTAGGGCCTGGGAGCCCCTAAACTGGCCAGAGTCACTAAACCAGGTCTGCCGTAGCTGGTGTTTTTTTGTTCGGGTGACGGTTCTTCCGGTCAGTGGAACGTGGCGGGGGGGACGCCCCCCAGTACTCCAGATCTCGTAATAAAGGTGAGGGGGTCTGGACCCTCCAAGACGAGCCATTTCAGACCTCCCCCGTGGGA